CGATAGGTGATAGGCTACTGCATCACGATCCATGAAACCCCAAGACCCCAAGAGTTCTGGCAAAGTACTCTGTCCATCCCCACTCTTCCATTGTAGCAACTGATACGAATTGGCCTTCAATGACAAGCTCAGCACTTTCAAGTTCGCTACGAATAATCTCCACCTCATTGATGAATGTCTCCTGAGCTCCACAGAACGACTTTTGAACAAACATGATTTGTAGATTGAACTATGTCTTCCGATTACGCCTGCTTGGAGACACTGCAAACAACATGACAATGAACATGCTGCTAAACCCCGACCAAAGTTCAGGATCGTAACCAACTTGCCGGAAGATATTCTCCAAAGTTGTCCTTTCCTTACCCTTCCGATGCCACTCAGCAAAGATCTTTTCAGATACTTTCGGTGAACCATCAGCCCTGCGGGTAAAAATACGGTTTGCCCTTTGACGAATAGCAGCCTTGGAAAGCGTATGCTGACCAAGTTTGGGCTGCCCAGCCCTTCTATCTTTGATATCGGGGATGTATTCCTCAAAGTACTCACCCCCAGGGCTTGCCATCTGCGACTTTTCGGGTGTTGCAGATTTTTTCGGACTTGGAAAAAGAGCTTTGGAGGTACTTGCGATAGGAGAGTGAGGAGAATCAGGCTGTCTGTCTGGCCAATCCAAATCATTGTAGGGGCACGCACGTCCCTGCTGGTTGGTGTAAATGATATCCACACCTACAATCTCCACATCAGAGTCAGACTGATCCCCATCTTTCACGGTGTCAGGGGTTTCCTGGCACTCCCCTGTGTCCGCACGCTCGTAGTATTGCGTGGCAGGTGTGCCACACTCACCGCTGCGGGCTGGCGAAGGCACAGGACGGTCTGGCGGGGCTTCGGACAACTCGGGTTCTAAGACCTAAGATTGAACATGAAGTGATTCTCAAAGACGGTTCTTTCAATCTAACATACAAACCCATCTTTGTTGCAGACAGGGAACCCTAAGTTGTTCTTTCATCTCCTCTTCGGAAAGCGAAGAGCTAAGTAGCTTGTCATAGTGAGTTTGCACTGCACCTGCAGCCTCCAAAAGACTGCTACCTGACCAAGCTCTGCTCATAGATGGGTTCATCGTCATGGGACCTGGCCTACAAGACACTACAGCAAACACTTGAGGCAGAGATCTGGCCCAAAAAGGCTCGAAGAGCAGAGACAATTAAGGGCGGTCAAGAATCAACAAACTATTCTTTTGGAAGAGACCCTTGTGCATGAACAGCCATCCAATCAATGGCGGTTTTGTCCATGGTGGATCATGACCTGCGCAGGATGCAGCATAGGCTCCATTAATTTCCAGAATTATGTATCTCACAGGGCACACAGAGGCTTTGTGACAACACAAAAGGGCTAAAAAAGGCGGTACGGGTAAAAACGTCGTTTTATCGGGTAAAAACGCCGTTTGATCGGGTAAAAACGCCGTTTCAAAATCCTGTATTTTTTAATCGATTGTTTTGGAGTGTTGAAGCCCCCATGTGTACGTGCACTGGAGCTCCATTGCTACAACCTATTGACCAAAATGTTCCTTAGACCTTTTTTAGGTCAAATAGCTCCAGCTTTCTGTTTTGAAGGCTGGGCCCCACATCCAAAAAAGATGGGAACACAGCTTTGTACTCCTCGGGCATTTTCAAGCATTTGCTGCCCCGCAGGTAAAGCAGCACTGAGCCAAGTTCTGCGTCTTCCCAGGACGACCAATTCCGCAAGAGGTCTGGGAGGGGAGTCTCCATGTCTACCTGGGAGGCTGGTAAACCCCTTATAGTTGAACGATGCTTCAAAAGTCAAAGTGTCGTGTCCTATGTTGGTCTTGTCAGGTCAAGATACTTCCAAATCAAAAGTTGGAGGGTCTTTGAGCATATCCGGAATCAGTGACACCAACGACTTGGCGAAGAATGGCGTATAAGTCCTTAGCTGAGGGCAGTAGCATACCACTTTACTATACCACATTAGTTACTACGATTCCAAACCCCAGAAGACTCAAAGTGCACCGGTTTGCGGAAAAGGTTCTGTGTCTCTTTGAGGGCAGGAGTTCCTTGGTATCTTTTCCTGCCTTGCCCATCTACATAGGCCCGACATGTTTTGACCAACTCTTCACCTTCATGCTCTCGCTTCCCGGAGCTGGAAGCCGAACAAGCAATGTTGAACAAAGCACCAATCCGCTTTCCGTTGGAAACTAGTGTGGTTCTCTTTGGTGTGCTACTGGCAAAGGCTTGCATCCAGAAGTGGATTTGGAACACCTTGGCCAAAGTTGTTTGGGAAAAGACTCTGACTCCTTCCAATGAGTGGGGATGGGTGTGAACATGCCTGAAACATCAACCAAAACAATTTCATCAATAGTGACACTGACTTGTTGCCCTACAGATCAGGAACATTCCATTTGTCCAGCCAAACCCGCCTTCACTCCGGCCCTACGAAGCATCCGGAAGAATTCCACCAAGTATGTAAAGAGCATCGACGAGCGGGGGTTCTCCAGGATATATGTTCCATTCATTGCGCAACAAAGCAGCATAAGTAGGCCACATCTTCACAGGGAAATTACACTAAACCAAAAAAGAAACCCAGCTCGAACAAACACATTGTGAGTAGTTCAAACCCAGCTTGCATGCGACCCCACTCCTGACAGCCATTTTGTTACCCTTCCGTGTAGCTGTTCCAGAGACACATCCCTGAGGAACTAAGATGCTACGCCGGGATGTGCCAGCGTTTACAGCTACCCAAGTTGAGCATACAGTAGCCAGGACCATCACCAATTGCCCAAAGCATGCCTGAACGCCCAGGAGAACTGCAAGCCTCGGCGACCGCTGGAATCGAGGCAGATGAGCAGGGATCTCACGAAGATCGATCGGTGGTGCAGATTGCTTGGTGGCCCCAATAGGTACCAACAAAAAAATGTTGAAAACAAAGGTGAAGTGACGCCATTCCAACTTCGCCGTTAATGTCCATGGTATTTCTCTTTGCAAACTTGTATTTCTTTTGGTTCTTCCTCTTCGGTTTGGGAATGTGGCCACGGTCTATATCGAAAGAAGCGACTGCAAAGCCTGTCTTTGCAGCCAAAGCGGACACCCGACCCTTTCCGGAAAAGTACTCTATGACCTGCCAAGGGGATCTTGGTCTCGGAACGACCAACCACGAGCATAAAAGCATCACCAGAATAAAGTCCTTAGCGCTGGGGGATTGGGCTGTGATTTGAATTAGACGCACAAGAACAAGAACTGTAGCTTCGGTAGAGCTAGCTCACGAATAACCCCAAGTGTCCGTGGGCGCTCCCATCGCAACCAGCCGGCGGGCGACGAGTTCTACCTCTTCTGGAGTCATTGTAAGGCTCTGTGTGTTCCCTTGAGCATGGAAGGCTCCAGGGTCTGAGCATTCTGTAGCTAACCATTTGAAATTTGAGAAGCTTCCTGAAGACCCAAAACATGTCAGCTCTACCACTGAAGTAGCCACGACTGGCCAGCCAAGATTGCCCTTTGCGGACAGGCATGAGGTCCACGTACCTGGAGCTGGACAAGGCATGCAGTGTCAATTTATGAACACCTGAAAGCCTTTGCAAGGCACTTGTTTTTTTGCACAAGCCGTCGTTCTGTCATCGATCCAACGGGTCAGGCAACACTGCCAACCAGGATCGGGCCCAACCACAGCTAACGGTCAACAGCTTGCATGTCACGCATGTGTACTTGTAGTCAAGTGAGTTTGGCCCAGACCCAGCGGTGTCTAAGTTGCTCACACCGTGCTTCAAGAACCTGAAATTTCCCAACAAAACCTGATTCTTTCTACTCCTAGGTCCTACGCCCTGTTTTGAATACAAGGCCTAATGAAAGAATCACCCCCAAGACAGGCTCACATCGATCACTTCTCAGTGGCTTCCGTGCCACCTCAAACGAGGAGGGCAGTGGGAAGTTGAAAACAATCACCAGGATCGAGCGGGGTTAAGTATAACTATAACTATAACTATACACAGAGAGGTCCAAACTTTACCAGAGGTGCCTAGTAACATTTCTCCACCAAGAAAGTGGCAGCCTTGCTGCCAGCAATTGCTCGGTACTCTGCCTCGTTAGCGTCCGGCTCTTCCAAAAGCGACATGAAGGCCCAATCCCACCAGCCCAACTGCAGGGGTTAGTCAAAGCCACCTTTTTTAGAAAATCAAAGCACTGATACGAAAGCAAAAACAAAGTCAAACACGCTCAAAAGTAAACAGGGGCTCTCGCAAAAGAGAAACAACCCCAACCTCGAGCGCGCTTGAATCCTTGACCTGCGTGACGATACGAGTCTTGTAGATATCCAGCATGACATCATAGCGGGTTGCAGCCTGAGTGCTCTTGGGCCGACGCCGACCAGCAAATGTCAGCCGGTCAGTTTTGGCTGCCTTGGCCTTTGGTGGCGTCTTCTTGCCCTTTGGCGTCTCCTTGCCCTTTGGCGTCTTCTTGCCCTCTGGCGATTCACCCTTGCTCTCCCCAGGCTTGCACTTCGAGTTGCCAGGCTTTGCCTGCTTGGCTTTTGCTTTTGGCTGTCCTGCCTTAGCCTTCCCTCTGGAAGTTTTTTTCACTTCATCCTCAGCCACAGCCTCTTCTTCAGGCTCTTCCTCCACCTCCTCCTCCTCCTCCGCTCGATCATCTTCCTCCTCCGAGACTGAGACAGCCTCAGAGTCAACATCAACTGGCTTTGCCATCTTGGCCTTGGATTTACCACTGGGCTTGCAGGCCGCAGGGCGCTTCATCGCACGACCACGTCCACGCCCACGCCCACGACCAGGTGCTCGACGGCTCTGTTTCGGATCCCCCCCTTTCTCCATCCATCTTGTCAACCTTCTGCTTGCATTCCTTGAAAGTTTGTTGGTCCTTCCTTCGGACCATGGGGGCTTCGTCCTCCGAAAGCACTTTCTCTCCCTCATACTTCTTTTTCTGGTTCAGGGCCGCATCCTCTTCAGCGCGCTTTGTAGCAGCCACTGCAGCTGCTTCCAAGGCTTCATCTTCACCGGGTTCGGCCTGACCCAAAACCAAGGTCTTGGCACGGATGAGATCAGCCTTTGCAGCAAGGTCTTCTTTGCATTGGAAAGGCTCGTTCGGAGGAGCTCCCAGCGCAGGCGCAGGACACTCTACTGGTAGCTCAGGCTCGATCGGCTGGGTGTCCATCGAGTCAATGCCTTGGCAGCAGTCACGAAATAAGTAACAAAGATCAAAAAGTTGGGAGCCCTTCCACCCCAAGAAAACAAAAGGAAAACATGGTGGAGACAAGATTGAACAATTCTGCAAAATTCAAGAAAGCTGCCCAGGGCCGGTGTTGCTGGTGACACTCTACCACACTTGGCAGCGCGATCGTGGCTGATTTCCGCAAGCCTCTTCCTTTGTCAAAGCATGGGACTGGGGTCTTAGAAAAAGAAGATTCCGGCAATTAGCTTTTTGAACATTAATCCACATTAAACCCAGAAGCAATCAACCAGTTCAACAAACCAAAACGATCAAGCATGGATGAGGATCCGGAGTGCTTCGTCCCGGGCATGAGCATCAGCTTTCAACGCCTTTGGTGGAAGAGGTGGAGGCAGCATCGCTTCTGGGCCTGCCTGAGCAATTTCCAGACCCTTGTCATTCTTGTCCTCTTTCTCCTTTGTCTCAGGCTGCATTGCTTGTGCGCCTTCAGGCTTTGGCAGCATAGGTGCTGCACCCTTTCCATCATGCGGTTGGGTTTCTGCCTCATTTGGCAAAAGCCGGAGAGCCGTAGGTTTGGAATGGTCCATGTCCACAGGGACCTCCGGATCATCATCTACAATTTCTTCTTCTGGTTCTTCCACAGCTGGCTCATCAAAGAGATCGGCTGGAGTTTCACTCACTGGAGGCCCGTCCCCAGCACCTGCTGCCGCACCAGCCGCAGGGAGTGCTGAAGAGCTAGCATCACCGGCGCTGTCGCCATCATCGTCTTCGATGTCGATGTAGCCATCTTCAGTGGCCGCCAGTGGTACTGCCTCCGCCCAGTACTTCTCCAAAATCGCGAAGAATGCTTCCAGCTTGGGTTCCTGAAGGGGTAAGAACTTGGCATGAAAGCTTCAATGAACAAACAAATTATACAAGCATAGACCCCAAACAGCTTCAAAACGATTCAGATTCG